GGGGGGGGGGAGGGGTGGAGGATGAGGTGAAAACACGCGATGTTGGCAGATACATGCTTCATACAAGTGATATCGACTAACCCACATCGATCTCAAAGTTCATAGTATTCCTTATATTATTCCAATTTATGAGCGGTTAGAAAATTTGACAGAACGTACTCAGGGACTAATCTGATGGAGGAGTTAAGGGAAGGAATTGGAATAAATTTCATAGAAGCATACGTTATAGATGGATTGCGGCATCATTGATTGACTAATCATTGATTTCGGTATCGCCTGATCGATGTTGTGCCCAACAAGAACTCTCTATCAATGAAATAACTAATAACCGAAAAATATAGTTGAAAAAAATCCCATGATGAGTTTCGATTGGCACTCAGTTTTCAGAGGTTTTCAAGCACAGGTTTAGTATCCTCCACGGCTTCCCAATGATACAAAGACCTCTTGCATCACAGTCACTTTAGGTCAAATGCGTTCACTTTTTTTCTGTACGTTATGCGCATGAACATTCTTGATGACTTCATATAGCTTTCTCCTCATCCATCTTTGTTTTTTCCCCGGAACTTTGCACGTTGGAGAAGTTTTACGATCGCTTTCTCTAACTTCAAACTAATGGTGCGAGAAAGAGTCATAGGACTAATTATTCTGAAGAAACTCAGTGGCATACTTTACCTCACATCCAATCTTGAGAAGGTCGTTGTCTTCACTCAAAGGCAAAGTTCACTAGAAGAGCGGTTCCTGAGGTTCTTCCCATAGTGAACCTGTGACCCCATGGATAGCCCAAGGGACGCTGTCGGGTTTGAACATGGCCCAGATAGGGCGTAATGAGGGCACTCAAATTGGCACAGCCGACATACACACCCTAGGTGGACGAGTTTTTAGGCGTTGTAGAGGTTGTAGAGGGTGCACAAATCGCATCGAGACGCACGCGTTGCACGTAGACAGCCTACATAGTCAGCTGTGCGCAATGGCTCTTGGAAAGCTTGTCCATATGCTCCTTCCATGCAACTTCTGTACCATTCTTGTTCAACCCTTAACTTTATTTCTTTTTTGAAGCCTCATGCCTCTTTAAATGCACCGATTTTTGCGTTTCCTTCACCACTTTCGTACTATTCTCGGCTGTCACTTCGATTCTTCGACTAAGACGATACATCCGAAAATATTCGTGAAATGTGTTTTTAATCACAACAGTTTTTAGCAGTAGTTTTGCATTTTCTCGGCGTCCCGAACTGCGAATACGAAGCCAAGGTATGGCCATTTCAAAAAGGGTCGCTCGATAGGTTCCATCCAGAATCTTAGTGGCGCTTCGAATTCTTATGTGGGCTAAAAAGTGACTTGCGATGGCTAGCTGATGTACAATTCACTGCTGCCATCCTTCTCGACGGGTCTGGTACCAATTAACCGACGTCGGAGGGATGGAAGGCTTGGTGCTTGGTTGGCCTGGTCGGCCGGGGGAGGCAAATTATCTATTTATAAATATTTCATCAGTAAAGTCTCGTTGTAGGGACGTTCGTACAGTGAAGTAATCGTATTCTACTCATTGTGCTTTCCGAACTGTAGACTGGAAATCAAACCATGACGTTGACGTTAGGCCATTGAGGGGGGGGGGGGGGGGGGGGGG